GTCTGGAAAGACATAAGTTTCTTACATGCTGCCAGAATGTACCACAACTAGACTTAATCTCCAAACTCGAAAAATGTTTTTACCATTTTTTGTTGAGCAGCCTTCAGTAAGGTGTTGATGGGCGAGCTTGCGCACATCTATTTCAAAGACCTTAGCCACTCCACATATTCCTGTAGACATTGATGGACATCTCACGGAGAAGAATCATGCATCATACCAACAAGAAAGAGTACTTTCCATTAAAACATTAGCATGTTTATTGAAAAACTGACAAATCCATGTTCTGTTCTCTCTGTATGGTAAGTGTTCATCCCAAACAGTTCTGTCAGGATAAATATATTTCACAAACAACAACTTGGTAGTTTGTAATACTCATTCTGCCAAATCATCAGACTGAAGATGAAATATACATCTTCACCTCATCTAATTCTTTACACATCTTGACAAAGTTTTTTGAAATTAGCTCCAAACTGTGCAATCCAGTTCCCTGCTTCACATCAGTGACAGATTGTGCTAATTTATTAACTAATGGATAAATCTTAGCCCAATTCATGAACTAGTTTATTGGAACGAGTCCATATTGTTGACCTACAGTCTCTGGAGAGGAGCAGTGATATCCTCTGCAAAGTAGACTCAACAATTCTCTGTTGAAGTATACCTACCCTACATCAACTGGTTCTTCCTCTGGATGTCACTCACCTTACAATACTTAGACCATTGCCAAATACCTCGAGTTAAATGTGATCAAAAGAACTACCCTCGAATGTTATCAGAAGTGTGATAATACCTTGATGATTTACAGTCTGTGTGTTATGGAAAGTTTGGAATTTTTTTTCGCCATAGGGTTCTGGGGACTACTAGAGCTGCAGCATAGCCAGAACACCACATCTTTTTGGTTATTGCAACATTACATCACACTTTCCCATACTTGTAAATGATTATACATGTGCTTTGTTCGTCTATTAGTGTGAATTGGGCTTTGCCTTGCAAATGGCAAGGAGTGCCCACACTAGGTGGAAATGGTTATGGTTTCAACTGACACATGGTGTCCAGGATCAGATAGTTCATCTACATTTCCATGTTGTTGGTCCGGAAAATGAATTATGAGAAAGTAACATTCTTGCAACATCGTGATCCAATATGTTTAGATTATTAAAGTTCATAAGCCATTTCAGCAATGCATAGTCCACCCAGATGGGAAACATCCTACCATAAAAGTAGTGGCAATAGCGCTTCACAAAGACCACAGCTACAAGTAGTTCTTACTTCATCATATAGTATATGTAATCGTGACTATCATATGCATTTACACATTATACTCCATCCTACAACTGTGATAACACTAGTTCCACTGTCATGGTGTCAGTGTCCAACTAGAACTTGCTGCCTTATCACAGAAAGTTTAGAGCATCCACTAAAACAAGTTTTAGGGGTCAGAATGCTTGGTAACATTCCTCACTTCATCCAAAATATGTCAAGACCTTTGTGAGAGCAGGTAATAAGTGCTGCTATCTTGGAGAGGTTGGCCACAAATCTTTAATAATACAATGTCATAAGAAAGAAACAGCATTCTCTTTGCTTGGTCATATGTTGAGGCCAATCTCTAACCCCATCTATCTTAGCCAAGATCAAAAAGACTCCATCCCTCCTTACAATGTGACGAAGAAATTTCACCTCTGCTTACTTACATAATACTTTCCAGGTTTCAGTTTGATCCTGTTTTAGTTGTTCAGTAAAACACCAATCTCAGGTTCTCAACTGCAGACTCGAAATTTCAACTAAACATTAAAATAGACAAAGAATTCCTCCCATTGCAGTTCCTTCAGTGAAATTTCTATTAGCATCTAAAAAGTAGCTGACATATTGCACATCATTAGGTGAAATTCATATAAGCCATTTTGCATACTTAAAGTAGTCTTAGACCTGCTCTCATCATCTAGCTTGACTTACCAGTAATTTGTTATCAGATCCAAGGTGTTCAGGGAATTGGAACTTTGTAATGCATTTAGATATTCATCTGTTAAGTAAATAAATGCACCAATGCAAAATACCATGTTCACTGATCTAAAATCGACACAGAACCTTGGCAATCACTACTGGAGATGATCAAATGATTTCCAAAAGTTGTATGACCCCATCCTTCAGTTCCTCCATATTTCATCCCTGATGACTTCCCTTATGTTCCAGGGAAGCTAGCTGGTGGTTGCTTTATTGATCATGAGTTGGCTGTATCTATGTGATGCTGAATCACTACTGTTTGATACAACTTGCCATGTTGTCCCAAAATATACTGGTATAATCCACCCTAAAATCAATCAGTTATTTTTGTTACATTGGGTCTAAACTGTTTGAACAATCTTCAACCAATAACCAACCCCAAATATGTTGGTAACCACATATTTGCATCTGGCTGCAATGCAATGAATGCAAACCTAGCATTACCACTGACACCAGTTACTTCACTTTGCTTACCATGCCTAAGACCATTTCAGTATTCAACTAGATAGCCATTTGCCTATTATTACAAAACAACACTGGGACTTTATCCTTTGTTGGGTTGATGAATGTCTGAGCTAATGCAGTCTACTTACTGGACAGGAAACATTTTATTTCATGCATGGCTTTTATAACCATAGTACACAGTACCACTGCACTAGACGTTATTTGGAGTTACCACAGAACACTATTTGTGTATAAGGAATTATGGTTATTCTCTTTGCTAAATAAACACATGCAGTTTACTGTCTCTGAGCTTGATCTGGGCAGCATTGGATGATTTTCCATGGTACATCAGCTCACCTGTTGCACAGGCAAAAGTGATGGATAACTTCTGCAGTACATCCATCTAGAGGATGTCAATGTCAGATCCAAAGTTCAAGATAACTACCTTCATTCTGTGAGCAGCATTTTGTATAACGAGTTACAAATGTACCTGACCTCTAACATTTAGTCTATCAAAATTCACCAGAACAAAATAATTTTCAACGAATAAAGTGGTGGTACTACTCAGAAGGCTTCGAAGATTGATCTATGGATTAATGATTCTCCACTGGGTCTAATTAGCGATGCAGCTTGTTGATGACATTCTCAGTTTTCTTGCTGCTCCACGTTCAGTTGTTCAATGTCATCAAGGACTGGACTGTACAACAGGGAATCTAAACCCAAAATTTTTGTTATACATTCTTCATTGAGACAACATAGGTTTACCCCTTTTGTTAAACATTTACCTTAGTTTGGAGTAAACACAGTGATCTTTCACTTGGGCCTCAACTAAACCATTATCATTTGAAAATTCAACAATGTTTTCTTCATGTTTTGTTAGCATCTGACTTCATGCCCATAGCTCTGGGATTTAAACTGGAAACCATTTACAGTGTACTAACAAAGATTATAAGACTAATGGAAGGTACTTGTATTTTGCATTTAAGGCAAAGCTACAAGATTATCTGCCACCATTTCTAATTTTGAACTACTGAATTTTTTTTTATTGTTTGCAATTAAGCACAAAGCTACACAATAGGCTCTCTGTACTATGCCCAATATGGGTATTGAAACCTGGTTTTTAGTGTTGTAAGTCCACAAACATATATATATATATATATATATATATATATATATATGATAAAGTAAAAACAGACCTTTCAAAATAAAATAATTTAATTATAGAAGGCTGGTATGTTCACCACCACAAAATTAACAATCACTCATAGATTAACCTTTACTTCAGTTGGTAAGATTGCATATTTTTAATTATTCTATTGAACTAATTCTATAAAATCTGAGGAAGAAAATGTTTGAAAACCATGGAAAATTGTGAATTTATGATTATCTTGTCATTTGTTTTAAAACAGATTGAATCCTGAGAGATGAAGGGATTGTGATATTTTAACAATGAACTAAATATGAAATATAGATAAACACAAAATAAAAATGGAACTAATCTTTATTTCAAGGAAGAATACCAACAGTATTTCTGATCTGTCCGTACATTCAAGGTGGCTATAAAACAAGACAACAAAACATCTGTTCAACTTTTTAAAATGGTTAGGCTAAACAGATTACATTTACATTACTTTTGGCAAACCAAGAAATAGTCTGATAAATCCAAAATACTGTTACCAAATCAGATACTACATTGAAAAATGGTTCTTTTCAATTAGAAAACCACAATTTCAATACACATTCTTATGATAAAAGCAAATTCATATTAGTCCTTAGAATAAAAAGTGGAAATTTCAAATTAATATTCTATCAGAGGTAACTGAAACTGTCAGTTAATTATAATTAATGAGTACTGAGTGCTTTAAAATTTAACAACAAGCAGTTTCTAACAAAATTAGAGTAAAACATTTCAAATTTTCAGTGTTACTTGATCTTCATACTCCAGGAGTAAAACATTCACTTCATAAACAAGAGCAATAACTGAAGAAAACTTTAACTATACAAAAATTTAATTAAAATAGGTTCTTTCTGAAAGACTGATTAATTCTTTTAAAAAACATGCATTATTGGTGAATTGTGAAACTCCATTAAAAGAAAAACAACATACTGTCTTATGCCTATGTTGTTAGTTTTGTTTATTACCATCTACTACTACCTGATACACAGTAAAACATCACTGTCTAAGAGTTTAAAAAAAAATACAATTATATCTGGTGTGAATTACTTCTTCTCAATAAAGTTTTCAACCAAGAGTAATATGAATATTTTATGCATAAACAATTGTAGCCACAGTGACCACAAGTCTTATAGAAATTAGTTCAAAGCCTTCCATATGTATCTTATAGTGTTCATGTATTTATATTGACAAAAAGGTACCATGCCACTGTTGTAGAGACATATTTCTGTTAAGAATATTTAGAATAATTTTGAATGACTTTCCATTATATCTGAAAATAAGAAATAAGTTTCACAAATCATTCAACATTACATTCTAATCAATAAAGCAAAAACAAAAATATGGAATCAATTCTAGCAAATATTTTAAGAAAAAATGTCTTTGATGCATTTATCAAATTCAAAAGAAATACTTCCACAAAAGGTAAACAAATTATTAATATACAAATATGCTGTTTTAGATTAATCAAATATAAGGAGAATATTAGTCATAGAAAGCAATGGAATTCATAAATATAAAGAAAAAAGCCATCACAGGAATCATCCAAGTTTGCCAGACCACCTAATAGATACACACACAAATCTATCAAATCATCTAGGTGAGAAATCTTGTCAGACACATCCACCATGCATATCTATGTAAAAGTTTGAAACTTGAAAGAACCTTTAAACATATTAAAAATAAAATCTACTAACTTTTGTTTTTCTAGATAGCAAGCTTTAAATACAGTAATTAGGAAACAAGTTTACTTACATTTTCAGATTCATGGTGACAGACTTACATTACCGTAAGGTCAAAACTCTCCCTCATAACTATCACATCCAATTTATATATGAATTTTATGGCACAAACATTAGCATTTAAATTTCAAAACAAACAAACATACACATACATATATATAAGCTAGAAATCTGAATCCTGACATTATTTAGCTATGATTTTGGCAACCATGTTACAGCAACTCTTATATGTGAAGCAACATTAAATATAACATTAGAATCCAAATAAATTACTTTTCTTTTTTCTATACAATTTGTTTTTTATATTGTGTAATAAATATCTTTCCTTTTCACATACTTATCTAAGTTTTTATGGTAATACAACTGACACCTATAATTTATATATACTAGACTACAGTTTCAAGATATTTGAAGTTCTGAGCATTTTTAAGTAAAATGAAATGGAACATTAGAATAAGCCTATAACAAAATATTAAATACACACATGCCACTGTAATATAATCAGAAATGACAAATGAAAATAAATTTTGAGCTAATGTACTTATATAATGACTAGTTAACAAAGCATGTAATTTATACAAACTTAGTACTATTCCTAAAGATGAACAAGCATGCACTTATCACAAGTTTTGTAATATAATGTAAAATGAACATGTAAGTACCCAAGTTAAAGTACAGATTTAAATATATTTCATTATAGATGGCATGAAATATAAAACTTGACCCAGTTCTTTTCTTTACCTATGGTAGTATCTACAAAACTAAAATTAAGACTAAGAAATAAAGCATTTACAGTATTATACGATTAACACATGTAATCACAAATGCATATTGAGAGCCTTGATTTTAACTTAACTCATATCTAGGAACATGTAATACTGCCACATTTACATATTTCAAGTATTCTAATTACAACTACTACTGATTAAAGTCATCTCCATACTGAACTAACAGGTTCATATGTAGTTCATATTTAGCAATAATAATCCTGGTTCAGAAGTAAGCACATGGGATCACCTACAAAAGTTGTATTGTTTTCAAACAAGATCCAAAACTTGAGCACTTTCATCTTCAGAATTTTTAAACATTTCATTGTAATTTATTTGCAGACCACTTGATCAATGAATTCTGTTTAAATAGAATAAATCTTAATGACATAAATAATTTGCTGTAGCAAATAGGCATATCTAGTCACCTTCCCTTATCAATCTAGTCTTCACAATGTAATACTTGTTATCAGAAGTCAGCTATCATCCAATTCTTTCTACATTTTAAGATATGTTTCCTCTATTACAAAAAATTGATCTAAGAGTCAGTGCTTTCTAATTCTGCACATGGTGATGATAAAGTTTGGTTTGTTTTGAATTTCATGCAAAGTTACACCATCTGCCCTAGCCATCCCTAATTTACCAGTGAAAGACTAGAGGAAAGGTAGATAGTCATCTCCACCCACCACCAACTCTCGGGCTACTCTTTTACCAATGAAGAGGGAGATTGACCATCACATTATAAAGCCCCACAGCTGAAAGGGCAAGCATATTTGGTGGAATGAGGATTCGTACCTGCAACCCACAGATTGCAAGTCGAGTGCCATAACCACCTGCCCATGAGGATAAAGAGCTATGAGTCATGCACAAGTGAATATAAAAAAAGAGCTAATTAAGTTTGCTAAAATAATGTTGAAAACATTCTATACAGCTGAATTTAGAATCCAACTTAAGAGACACTGAACATGTAGATGTACATAACCTCATAAACGTAAATTTTTCTGTGATAATACATTTTTGAAGTCCTTAATGATATTTTCAACTATACACCAGATTAAATTTTTTAATAGAACAACAATTAAAACCAAAGGTAGACTTTCCTATTACCACTATTTTTTTCATGATGCAATTAAGCTTTCCCTAAAGCAGATACAATAGAACAAAACGTGGGAAATCAAATATTGCAATTCTCAGTCATAATCATTACCAGTTTAAATAAATTGTCAACTACTCTCCAGTTTGCACTATAGTAATTCAAAAATATAAATTATATTTTTCAAGATTGTATGGTTCTTTTAATGTCACAGAGAGGGACAGGGTGTAAAATTTTACTACTACTAGTACACATATAACTGTTATTTCCTCAACAGACATCTCATATTTTCTTATACAGAAGATTTATTCCAACCTTTTACATGAAAGCTACTCTAAAAGTTTTCTCTGGTAGCAACTACTATATGTAGTACAACCAAGCTAACTGTATATTTAAACACCAACAGGCTGCACCCAATTTTGTAAGGAACAACACACTCAAATTACAGCCGTGGCACTGAATAGTCCATTGATAAGCTCCAAGACAAACAATAGTACTTGTTGTAAATATCAAACATGTACACCAATCTTTTGATATAATACTAAGTAACACTAAATGTTTAGTATTTTAAACATTGAAGTTTTAGTTAAAATCAACAAAAATCTTAATAATTTGTGAAATCCTAACAAGTTATGATACATGGTTTATAAACAATATCAAGCTCTAAAATGCTACTCTGAATATTAAGTTATAAATACATATATAGAAAACAAAGATAAATCCCTTAATCTACAAAAAATATGTGATACTCACAGGTCTTAAATAAGTAAGCTACAAATTTTACTAATAATGAATTGCAGTTCTGTATGTTCATAATAAAAGCAACAAATATAATGTAAAATACCATTCTGTGAGCTAAGCAATAAAGTAGATGTAAAGGTATTCAAAACGTGTACACTGTAACTAATACCACACTTCACATGATGGTACATTTTTCTGGGTTATCAGGGTCACCCTAAAATGAAAAGAATAAAAATCATGTATGTGTGAAGCTTATCTTATAAACACAGCAAAAATAATCTCAAATATAAAGCAAAGGAACAAGCACCCTTGTTATAACAACAAGGATATATGGTTCTGTAAAAATAACAGCTATAGTACACTTTAATGATATTAAAGCTAACTCAATAAGTTTTATTTTTAATTCTATGCATACATGTAACCAAGGCACTTTTAATACAGTGGCCTCATTTGGTCTACAATCAGTTAATTTTCTGACCAGAGTAAAGTCTGAAGGTACATTGTTCTGTTTGACATACAGTGGTCCATTCAGTAATTGTAGGTCTAAATTATATGCTGGTTCCACAGAAAAGAAGAACAAATTATGAAAACCTAAAAACCAACAAAAAAGTCAAAAATTAAATTGTTTTTTTTACCAACTTCTCAAAATCTTATATCTTGCCATTAGCACTGGAATTTAAAATGTTCTACTTAGATTTTTTTTTAACATGCTTCATTAAAAATATAAAGTTAATTTTTATAAGAAGAAGAATATGCACATTGAAATGTCAAAAAACTTTCCACATGCCTATAAATATAATCAGCACGATGCACCAAAAACAGTATCTATTATTGGTTTGCTATAGTTTGTATAGTATAAACTTTATAAATTTATTATTATTTGCTGTTTGTGAGTCAGTTCAGGAGTTTTTAGGGTTTAGTCCATTTGAGTTGGTGTTTGGCCATTCAGTGCATAGTCCTTTGAAGTTGATGAAGGAAAATTGTTTGGAAGATGATAAAAAAAAATGCATTTGTTGGATTACGTTTCCAACTTTCGGTCCAGACTCTTACTGCTTATGAATTGGCTCGAGAAAATATGAAGTGAACACAAGTTAAAATAAAAAAAATTTATGACCACAAAGCTGAAGAGTATAAGTTCCTTCCTGGTGACATGGTCTTAGTATTGTTACGCACTGTGAGACATCCAATTAAAAAATAAGAAAAAAAAACAAAAAAACAGGAGACTGTTAGATTGGAGTTTATCATTACAGGAGTATGATTTGAAGATAATCCATGTCAAAGGGGTTGATAACATTTGTACTAATGCACTTTCACGTGCCAAGTAATTTTATGATCATAAGATTATTTGTATTGATGGTGTTATATACTGTCATGATTATTAAAGTTGTATAATTTTTTGATAATGTATTACATTTAATGCATTGTTGTCAATGTAGATATATCTTAGTTAACAATTGTCAAATGCCAATTTTTAATTCTTTAAGGAAGGAGGTGTGATGGATTTACTATTATACATTTATTTTAATATTGATATTTTTTTAGGTTAAATTTATATTTAGAAATGTACATAACTTATACTGTTAAATATGTATTGCGAAATTCCCACTCTCAAGTTGGAGATGATTCTTGACTGTAAGAATCAACAATATATATGTGTACATAAATGCTACTGTAGCACTTCTATTGTGCATAACCTGAAATTTTGAGAAACTCTCCACATGCCTATAAATATAAACAACACAACACACCAAAAACAGTATCTATTATTGGTTTGCTATAGTTGGTATACTGTAAATTTTGGAAGCATTACCTGTGATTGTTATAATGATTATTAATCGGGAAATATTTGACCAGGAACATACATAAATTTTGAACATTACCAATTATTTAAGTTCAGTGAATTCACATCGGACATTAGTAATTTTATGAAAACATTTCCTAGCTTCATCGGTGGAAAAAAATCGATATGTGATCAGTGAAGACCACATAGCTAGTTAGCTCTCTATCAAGTGAATTGTACCTACGTCAACTCGAAATTAACTCGCTCATTGCAAACCCTTGATAAGATGTCGAGAAAGTTCCAGGCCAGAAAGAAGACTTTATATTGCTTGTAAGTTTGTAAAACGTTTGTGTATAAATCATAGTTTGTGATAACCATTATTGCAAATTGTATTATTGTTTGTATATTAAAATATATTTGTATTAAAAAAGAAAACTGTGCATATCAATCTTGCTGGCAAATATCATAAATTGATATATATTGG